AAGTCCTTGTGTGTGTGTGTCTGTGTATCTGTGTGTGTGTGTCCGCACTCTGTGAGTACACAGGCTTCCTTCTGCTAACTGCCTGCCTACCCAGCAGTGCTTCCTATCCAGGCACAGCTCACACTGTATTAAAGATTAAAGATGGAGTGACCACAGCATCTTGCTCCCTGCAAAGTACATTTTATCATGTTGTAAAATTTGACCTTTAGGAGCAACAGGTTTGGGCCCAGCATAAAATATATCAAATGCAGAAATTCAAAATTCAATAGGCATGTGATCAACCTCAGGCTGTGTACACAGCACAGATGCACACGCCTCCAAGCAATTGACAACCTAATGGGATGTTTCACCAGTTTTCAACTACGACAGGAAGCTGACAACATATGCCAATGTGGACCTCGGCTCAGACACCTTCTTTACTCCTGTCCTTCTCACAGTGTAACCCAGTTCTGGCTTACTTATAAGTAGCTTACAAATTCCACACTTTCATCAGCTACCCTAAAACAGGGAAGTGATAGTCTATAAAAGATTTGGTTTTATAATATTATAGTGCGAAAGATAAAGCATTTGACAAATAATTTTTATGAGTATCTTGGGGGGAGGGGGGAACTTTTAAATTCTAGGCCTAAGAGAGCTTAAGCCAAACTAGAGGATAGGGGAATACAGTATATAAGATTAAAAACCAGTAAATCGCATAAGAACTCAAACGTTAATGACGCGGGACCACCCTTGAGACATTAGGTACAATGTGGCGTGCTAATGTCTTTAAGTGCTGCCTCACTCTGATCTCGCTGGTGGGCTTTCACTTTCCTCGGATGGATTTTAACTAAATAGACTTTAGACGTTTGGATATAGATAAATGCTGAATTCAGTAATTAGTATTTTAAAACTGTGAAACCTTTTAAGTTAAGTGGTCTATTAATTAACTACCAATTATCTTGTCTGACTACCATATCAATAGAAGTAAATTACTCACTAGCTAGCTGACAGATTTAGTCCTTTGCCATGGAAGATTTCTTCTGCACATAAAAGGCCTGAGGTTGAATGCTTTTGCTTTCCTTCCTCTTTTGGGTAATCAGGGATCAGTTTGCCATTTTGAAAAAGGCCAAACACAGCTCCTCGGTTTAAAAGGACCTAGAGATAAACTCTGGCTCAGAAACAAACTGAGATTCTATTCCCTCTCCAGAAAAATAAATAGTACGTGGAGCTAAGTTAATTATTTCGAGGCAATGAGACTGCAGTCACTGTACAGAGCTTGTATGTCACTTGGTGGGACAGAGGAGAGGTGTGAGTGCCTTGGATGCTCATATACACTTGTTCTCAGTGGCCTTGTTCTACAGCACACCAGGCTGGCTAAACCCATCCCATGTCATTCCTGGAAGCTCTTGCTCGCAACAGAACAACTATGAAGGTTAGTGTCATAGCTGACTGGAGGACCCTGTCAGATATGAGAGCTAATGGAAAAGCCTCTGCAGTCCGGAAGTAACACAGGCTCTTCTTGAGGCCTGAGTCACAGGGAAAATGACCAATGGCTGCCATGCATTCAATGTGCCTTTGATTCACAATGATTGCAACGGCAGTCTTCTTAAAAGCCTTACACCCAGAGGTAGGCTTAGTACACTGAGGGAAAAAAGAAAAGAGAGAGAGAGAGAACACAGGTGGAGCGAGGAAAACTGTGGGTAGGAAACAGAAGGAGATCCAGACCCTGAATGGAAGGCAACCCTGATTTGAAGTCAACAGCACATATCAGTCCAGTGTGATGTTTTTCCCCTTTCACAATCCACAGCGTGGACCCATGTGAGCTCTCTGAACAGCTTTCCTTCTAAATATTGAAGCAGAAGCCTGTTACATATGATCAAATATTCATTAAGTTAGCGTAAAGTTCCAGGTGTGTTGGGGGAGGGGTGGGGTGGGACGGCATAAAAACTGCCACCAATCTGTCATCAACTTTGTTATGTGAGGCACAATGTAGACAAAGTCATTTCAAAAAGCACTTACTGTGCATCAAAATGGCAATATATGCCACAAAAAAAAAGTTAGCAGAAAAGGAGAAAAACAAACAAGGTTTTACATAACTCATTTGACGGAAGCTTCACTGGGAAAGAAGGGATCAGGCTGGAGTGTAGCTCGGGGGTGAAGTGCTCACCTAGTATGTGCAGGGCCCAGAGATCGGGGTGTTCAAAGAGACAGTCTAAGGCTCCTTAAAGCTTCCAAATCCAAGACACCAGTAAAGGCAAGGGTTGGGAGGGAAGCTTACATCAGCATCTTGAAATAGATCTCAGAGGAGGAGTGGAGGAAGAGAGACCTCGGAACATAAGAGTAGCAGCTGGAGCTCGCGGGGCACCTCCAAGACGCAAATCACAGGCCAGCCTCGTGCACCCTACAGGAATATGACTGGAACTCTGGGTTAACACACACCTTGTTATTCTGTGAAAACAGACACTGACTGCATCCTAAAAGTCTGGCTCAAGATGATGGGTCCAAAACGGCTGAATATACTCTTTGCTCAGAGGATCTATGTTTTTAACTGCCTGGGGCAACTTTTCCCGCCCGGACATAGTCAAAAGGCACACTGGTTATTCTCTTCTGAAACAAGAATTGTAGAAGCCAAGGTAACACACCTTTGGAAACCCACTACCATTTTCAACTGAGAAGAATTCAACTGAGGGAAGCTGAATTCAAATCATCCTGAGCAATACTATTTAAACCCCACAGCAACCACCATTGAACGCAGCCTCCGTTTATGTTTCAGCTAACTCAACTTCTCCAAAGGTTTGTGAAGTCTTGGCAAGAAGTCAGAAATTTCAACACTAAAATGAATTTTCTGACTCAATATTGAAAATAAATTCTTAAGTTTAGATGCTTAGGAGAAAAACAGCTGGAGAATTCAGGAGCCTCCCATAGTTTAATACAAAGTGATGTCATTACCAACCAGGCTTCCAAAAACTCCCTAAACTGTGTGGTTAAGCAACTTCCCAGAGCTCAGCGAGGAGGGTAGGAAGGTGCAGTGCACCCATGGGACACGAATTTGGATCCAGGGTAAGAGCTGATGCGGTTTCATCCTCACGTCAGAAAGTAGCCGGACACTGCACTAGCATCAGTCTACACTCTTGCCCAGGAGGCTGGGGATTGTCTTTCTCAACACTCTGAATCGGAGCTTATTTTATGCCTTCTGTGGCGCACACTGAACTGAAGGCTGTGCAATTTCTTTAAGAACCTGGGCATATTTAAAATTTCATAAGCCAGCAAAATGATCAAAAAGGGGAAACCTGAGGGGCCTTGGTGAGGGTTAAAGTTGACAGTTAGGAAATCTTGCATCAGTCTCTGGTTAATATTAATCTTCCAATGGATATGCAGGTTTCCTAAGTCAACTGAAATCACCTGGAATTTCTGTGGCAGCTCAAATATGGAAATTACGTTCTGCCATCAGTTTGTTTTTTATTTCAAATGCTGACCCTGGTTTTGTTTGTTTGTTTTGGAGATGGGGTCTTGCTACTTAGCACTAGATGGCCTCACGATGTTTTTAGACCAGGCTTACCTTGAACTCATAGAGATCCATCTACCTCTGTCTACTGAGTTCTGAGGTTAAAAGTATTTGCCACTATGTCTGGCTTGGGGAATTTTTTTTTTTCTTACCCAGAATTATAAATACAATTCTTGACAAGTTAACCTGCCAAGTCCATTCAGTGGGCCTTCACTTATCCACGTCAGTGCTCTGACACTTAGTGTCTGTTCCTGCAGCAGCAAAGGCCTTATCTGCATACCTATGTATATGTACATATACAAGTGTGTGGTCCTTCTCCCAAACTGTACACAGGGGGATCATGTACAAGCTATACACATTGCTCTCTTCACTCATTTAAAATGCCATGTTTGTTGAGTGAGTTCAACTTACTCATGTTCATCTCTAGATGCTCAGAAATAAATTATATAAAGCTTATGTTTCCAAATAAAACATTAGGATACGCTTCATCTAGGATCCGAGAAGAGCCTGACACTGGACAAGCAATATCTGAACATCGAAGAAGCCAGATTAAGTTTTAAGCAGTTTCTAAAAGATTAGTGAGGTTTACTATGACCCGTTTAGGAGAAACAGCTCTTTGTTGGGTCCTACTAGAAGCCAAGTCTGCCTATGGAGGTAAAATCCTGTCTCTTTACCCTTTCTTCCGTTTCCCCCAGTCAAGGGTGACCCAGGGCCTTGCGCACACATCCATTAGCACGCTACACTGAGCTAACCTGAGCTAACCCTCAGTTCTCCTCATCTCTCTTTCACTGGACTATTCCTGTCTACATACGGACAACACACAGAAAAAAAGTGTAAGATGGGTCAACATGGCATGCACGGAATTAGAGGGAAAAGTGTTGCATCTACCCTTATTGACAATTCAGCTAAAAAGTTGGGGTTAGGGGTCCTCTGGGAAAAGAAGACCCCTCGATGTCTCCGGATGCTGCAGGACTGTTGGAATCCCTGACACACCAGGCCTCACCATCCCCTTCTCTTCTCTGTGGTCCTTTCAAGATGACTGCTCATTTGAAGACTCCTGAGATGCTCACCATCTGAACAATGTGCACGGCCAATGGATGTTAAGTAGCTGCCAGGGTGGCCTGGCCACTCCCAATGAACCACAGATGCTGAGCTCAGAATTCCTGGCACTTTCTAACTTGTGGCTGAGCAGTAGTTTGGAAGCCTAACCCCTGACTTTACGAATTCATAAGAACCAGGGTTTTATAAACTCAACAGAAAGCTAAATAAACAAAGGCAGGGCTTATACTCTCTCTTGTTATTTTTACAGCAATCTTTCAAAGTAGCTCCCCATCATCAATTTCTACCTTCTTAAGGCATAGTGAAGGGGAGCTGTTCAAAATAACCAGATACTGGGGGAAACGGCTCATTCGGGGTGGAGGAAGGAGTCAGGTGGCTTTCAGATAGCTCATGAGACTCTCTTTCCCATCCTGCTCACTGAGGATCCAGAAATAAAGACAATGACATGTATATTTACCCAGAAGTGTGCGTGGCAGTTGACCATCATGGTTCTCTCAATGAGTTCATCAGGACATTCCAGAAGGTGATGTCCAGAAACCACACCAGCATTGTTGACCAGGACAGAGACCTCACCGACCTCCTTGCGGACCCTTTCGGCCGTCAGGTAGACATTCTCCCTCTTTCCCACGTCACAAGTGTAGGTAAAAACCTGCAAGTTACATGGGGGCAGGGTTTCCTCCTCGCCATTCCCAGCTGTCCTCGGGAGCCCAGATGAGGGGAGAAGGGAAGAGAGAGAAGGGTACAGAAAGTGAGCCACATGGCAGTCAGTAGGACAAACATCATACACAGCAAAAAATACTATGGTTCGCTTCAAATTTCTAACACTGTAATGCTTGCCAATAACTCAGCTTACAGCTGCCTGCCTCCCCCCTCTCCACTCCCCCTCCCAAAGTCTTTGGGAATTACAGCAATTTACTGGACAAGCTTGCTTAGGGGAAAGTCATGTAATTGTGGCAAGTCCTATACAAGTAGACCACATGGGATCAACTTGCTGGAGCTAGACACCTGCAAAGAACTGATCTCAGCCCAGAGACTAACACACATTACACATTCCTGTTTTCAGATGGGGATGGGGAGGAAGCCCGTGGCTAGAGAGCTCTACCCTCAAAACAGAAATCCATTCCAGGGTTCACAAATCCAAACTGCAAGCAACAACCTGAAGTCATTCAAAGGCAAGATAGGAAGAAGTTTCTAATGGAAGCATGGAGGTCACTGCTTGTCTTTAAACGGATTCCCCCAGAATTAATCTCACAGATGGAGTGTTTGGAAGTTGATATGCAAGCTTACTACATTGGAGTTCAAACAGCATGAAAACAAAATCCCTCCCTTAAAAATGAGTGTTGCCTCCTCTTAGGTTTGGGCAGGGAGCACGAATGTTCAAATTTGTTGCGTCTCCACACTAGCTTTGAAAAGGTAACATTTTGAACCACACATTAGAAACAAAACAAAACAAACAAACAAACAACAACAGCAACAAAAAAAAACACGGGTTCTGGTAAATTTGGTAACAAATGACAGCCATAGATAGGGAAACCCCGAGGGGAGCCCAAGTCAATGTAGCCACCATCAAATTTCCTAGACCAGTATCTACAGCTAGCTGATCGTGATCTCCATCCATTTAGGCTTATGTTTTTGTCTTTCTGATACAAACTAGTTGTTCAGCAAGTAAGATGCAGATTGGAGTACCGCAAAACCATGGAAGAAGTTTACAAAAGGTCTGAAATCATTGAAGCACTTTCTCAATCACTCTCAGCTACTCTGGGTTGGTAACTAAAGCATTTACTTAAGGATGGGGAAACAATGTAATTATTTCCCGGAGCTAAAGTTACATAGTGAAACCCTTCTATCCATCCAGCTCAAGCCTAAGCGGCTGAGACTTCACAGAAACACGTAACTGCCTCAGTCCATTGTGGGAACAACTTCCCAAAGACACTTCAGCTTCCCATCATGCCGCATGCAAGTCAGACTGAGAAAACTGTTTTTTGGATCTAAACCTGTAGTAACAGCAAGGTTCCCCGCTACCTTTCACTACTGGCAGAGTTTAGGAAACACCAGCGTGGTGCCGGTGCTGGTGCCGAAGCGGCAGGGTCTAGCGCACTTTCAGTCCTTCCTAAGACAGAAAATCATGCTCTCTTATCAAGGGGCAAATTCCACCCGCCTTCCAGAAGATCAGTAGGTGTTCTTTTCCTGGAGAGCGAGGCTGTGCCCATGGCCGTGGGGTGTGTGTGGGGACCCTCCCGGGCGTGGAGAGATTTGACCTAACAATGCACGGGCAGATTACCTTGCAGAGCAGCGGCATCGGCCGCCTCCAGGTCCCGGTAGATGTGACGAACCATGCCTGCGGTCTCCTCGTTGCTCTGCGTGTTGATGTCCCAGAGAACCAGCAGCGCCCGGCGCCGGGCAAACTCCAGGGCGAAGAGGCGGCCCAGGCCGCTGCCCGCGCCGGTGATGAGGCACACCTGGCCGGCCACGCTCTTCTCCTTGGGCCGCACGAGCCAGCGCGCCGCGGCCAGCACGAACGCCCACAGCACTTTAAAAGTGACCACGAAGAACTCCACCACGATGTTCATCGCGACGCCCCGGGGTCCCGCGCGAGCCCTGCTGCACCGTGTCCTCACCCTCCCCGCGCCAGGCAGCCCAGCTCCTGGCCCCCGGGAGCGCTTGTCACCGCGATCGGGACGCCCCGAGTCCGCCCCCGAGACGCCGCGGGGGACCCCGAGTGCCCGGGGCCAGCCAGTCCCTCCGGGGCTCGGCACCTCCTGCTGGCTGCGCGCGTCCCCCTCTCCCTTCTCCCCGGCTCGTCCCGCAGCGCCCAGCCGTCCGGTCCCCGCTGCAGCGGCGGTGACAGCCGCGGGTCAGGCGTCGCGCGCCGGCCTCATGGCCAAGCCGCCCCCCGAACCGACGTCCCCCCGCGCCGCCGCCGCGGCTCCCTCTCCTCCCAGGGCAGGGGCCGCGCCGTGCGGGTGGCGGGAGTTGTCAACTTGGCTCAAGTTGCGGGAGGGAGGGAGGGAGGGAGGGAGGTGCGGGCGGGCTGCGTGCGTGCGGGCGGCGCCGGGGAGGGACGGCTTGCGGGGAGAGGGCGCGCGCTCGGGCTGCCAACCGCTCGGGCTGCCGGCGCGGCGCGGGGCGGAGCGGGGCGGAGCGGGTCCCTGCCCTGCACTCGCGCCGCTGTCACTCGGGCTCCGGGCTCCGCGGCGCGGCGCGGCGGCTGACGCCCGCGAGTGTCGGAGCGCTCCCGGCCGGCCGGCTCGGAGATCGCCGCGCGCACGGCGCTATATAACCGGGCGCCGGGAAGCGCCGGCCGCCGCAGTGGCATCGGCCCTCCCTCCCTCCCTCCCTCCGCCCCCGGGCGCACCCCGCCCCCGCCCCCCTCCGCCCGCCCGCCCGCAGCCCCGCCGGGCCCGGGCAGCCCCTCTCCCGCGATCGCGGCCGCCGCTGGAGCCTCCCGCCCTGCTCGCGCCTCAGCGCGCGGCTCGCGCCCCCTGCCGTGGGTCACCGCGGCCGGCTCCTGCCTGGCCCCGCCGGAGCCCGGGCACCCCCAGTCCTGCCCGGATCCGGACCGTCCGGCCATGGCTCGTCCCGGTCTCGACGCCACTTGGGCCAGCAGAGCGAGCGAGCGCCGACCCCGCGGCCCTGCGATCAGGCGCTGCGGAAGACAGCCCCGCGGGCGGGCGGGACGAGGACCCCTCGGCGGCGCTGCCGAGTCGGGGGCGGGGGGAGGAGCGGGGCTGCGTGGGTACTGGGACCGGGGGCCGACAGTGACTTCCTATCTCGGCCAGTCTCTGGGGACGGGAACCCCTGGGCTCCAGAGAGCCTAACGGGAGTCAGCGCCGCGAAGGTTGCCCGGGATTCGGGGGTCGCGTTGCCCTCCAGCCCTGCGGGCCGGGGAATGATGCATGCTGGGACTTGTAGTTCACATCCTCGGACGTGGCTTTCGGGTCCGGGACGGGGGGGGGGGTAGGAATTAAGCCCCAAACTGACAAGGTGTCAGCGTTGTGCTTATTAAATAAATAAAAGAATATGTACTCAAGCCCCAAACTGACAAGGTGTCATCGTTGTGCTTACTAAATAAGTAAATTCAGCAAAATGTACTCAAGCCCCAAACTGACAAGGTGTCATCATTGTACTTATTAAATAAATAAATGTTAAAAATGCACTCAGTGCACTCGTTCTCCCACGAGCTTTACCCTGAAATTGATTGGTAGTGACTGTCAGACTGCTGTTTATAGTTTTGCGCCTGCAAAGCGAGCTCGCAATTCGAGATTCTTTTCTGTCCGGCTTATGTTAGGACGACTATAAGTCCTGGGGCCTTGCGCGCTCGCGGACCTTTAAGGGCGACTGCGCATGCGCCAGCTTCCTCTCTCCTTTTTTTTCCCCCCCTGACTGGAAGGAGCCATGGAGGCCGCGCCGTAAGTAGCCGTCCCCGCTCCTCCTGCATCCTCGTCCATCCCGGGGACTGGAGGCGCGCCGCTCCCGTTCCCCAGCGTCTGGCTGTGGCCGGCACCGCTGCGTGCCCGTCTGGGCGTTTGTGACGCCGTATGACGCCAGCACCGGGGTGCGGGAGGCCTGGGCGCCGAGGCCTCGGGGTGTGCGGTGCGCGCGGCCCGCCGCCCGTGCGGAGGTGCATGCGTCTCACCGGCGGGACGGTGCGGTTCGAAGCGGAAGCGTCCCGGGGTTACACACGTCTCTCACGGGCCGACGTGAGGCCCGAACCGGCAGCGCTGCCGTAGCGTGCTGCACCCTGTGCCTGGCGGTCAATGGCGTCCCAGCGCTCTGTCGGCCGGGGGTAGGCAGGAGTCTTTGAGCGCCATGCGTTTGCCTGTATTTTTAAAGGGCGTGGGGCGGGCGTGGAGGAGGTCTAAGCTCCGAATCTTAAAAAGCGGAGATGCCCGTGGTCACAGTGGGTGACGGTGTCCCAACCGCACGGTGCCGAGTACCTGGTGAGTTTGGTGAGGGCGCCGGGTTTTTGACTTAGATGTTGTTTGCTGACGACAGGGAGAAGAAAAAGAAGGTACCTGCTGTGCCAGAGACCCTTAAGAAAAAGCGAAGGAATTTCGCGGAGCTGAAGGTGAAGCGCTTCCGGAAAAAGTTTGCACTGAAGACGGTAAGTAAACTTTGGGGTCCGGTCCCTTGGTTGTAGCTGTCTCGTTGTTTGTTATTGTAACAAACAGTTGCTAAGGAGCTTCTGGTGGGTCAGCCTCTGATCATCTGTCTCTTAAGCTGCCCCATACTGTGGTAAGACTTTTCTAGAACTGATCCTGCTGTCTGAGTTTGGGAACTAAACTGTGAATTACTGGTTTGCAGCTCCGGAAGGCACGGAGGAAGCTCATCTATGAAAAGGCAAAGCATTATCACAAGGAATACAGGCAGATGTACCGGACAGAGATTCGCATGGCTAGGATGGCAAGGAAAGCCGGAAACTTCTACGTGCCTGCAGAACCCAAGCTGGCATTCGTCATCCGAATCCGAGGGTAAGTTCGCCTTGGGTCGCGTTTCTGGGAGCAGGTGGTGCTGAAGCGTGGACAGGCTTGAAGGGGGGCGAGGGGTTTGTTGAGGGTCTTACTCTTCATAAGACCTGTGTCTAAGCCATCCACTCCTACAGCCAGGTAGTTCGGGGTCTTGTACTGTTGTCCTAAGAATTTACAGTGCACTGTAGTGTCGCACACATCTACAAAGATAGATTGTTCAGGCTTTATAACAAGGTTATGGGAGTACAAGGGGAGCAGGCAAGTCTGTTATTGTTTGGAGTTATGGTGGAACCTGGAAGGACACTTTTGGTCTCTTTCTGTGGCAGTATCAATGGTGTGAGCCCAAAGGTCCGCAAGGTGTTGCAGCTGCTCCGTCTTCGTCAGATCTTCAATGGCACTTTTGTTAAGCTCAACAAGGCTTCGATTAACATGCTGAGGATCGTGGAACCATACATTGCATGGGGGTGAGTTTTCTGTCGAGTTCATTGGTCGTGTGACAAGATGAATCTAGATACTTGATACTTGGGTGACTGTCCTTACTGATCATTTCCCCTGGGTTTCCTACTTTAGGTACCCCAACCTGAAGTCAGTAAACGAGCTCATCTACAAGCGTGGCTATGGCAAAATCAATAAGAAGAGAATTGCCTTGACAGACAATTCCTTGATTGCTCGATCTCTTGGTAGGTTGCTCTTTTGGGGGATAGGAGTTGCTGCTAGATTGTCATGTTTTCTGGGCACACTTTATTTTGTTGTATACATGTGGTAGAGGGTTCAAGTTGATGATATTCTCGATGGTGTTAGGTCTCACTGACACTAGAATCAATTGCATTCTGACCTTGCTATCTATCCCCTGTCTCTTCTTGTGCTGGGATGGTGACAGGCAGGCCACCATGCTCCTGCGCCATCTCCCCTGGCTGGCCTCTGTGACTAATCTTTACATGGTCCCCAAATCCTTGATGGTTTAAGGAAATTAAATTTCCCTGCATCTCTGGCTGGCCTGGAACTCAGGTTTGCCTGCCTCCGTCTTCCAGCTGATGGGACTGAAGGTGTGTTACCATGCCTTGTCCCTTCCTTGGTGGTTCTGCCTATAATTGTGACCATTGAGGACTTTTTAAATTTTGGTGAACTTAGACTCAGTTTTCCTCAGGTAAATACGGCATTATCTGCATGGAGGATCTGATCCATGAGATCTACACAGTGGGTAAACGCTTCAAGGAAGCCAACAACTTCCTGTGGCCCTTCAAACTGTCTTCTCCACGGGGCGGGATGAAGAAAAAGACCACTCACTTTGTGGAAGGTGGCGATGCTGGCAACAGGGAAGACCAGATAAACAGGCTTATTAGACGGATGAACTAAGGTGAGAGATTGTATCCTGACAGGACTTTTTGTTTGAGACATTTCTGGCTGTTCTGGAACTTACTGTGTAGACTTGATGGCTTGAGTTCATTGAGGGTGTGCCTGGCTAGCAGGGAAGAGTTTTAAGGGAGGATGTGTAATCTTGAATGATACGTGTTAAATGTTGACTGGGTGTGTCATTGAGTTTTAAGGTGTGGAGGGGGTCTGCCTGCCTGTAAGGATGTATGCTCCTTTACAGCTGATGTTGAGTTGTAGCTTGGACCATAGTCTCTAACTTGTGTATGTTTTTTTTTTTTTTTTTCCCTTTCAGGTGCCTGTGGTATTTTTGTAATCTGGTCAGTTAATAAACAGTCACAGCTTGGCAAACTGAATTGCGTTGGAGTCTTTGTTGGCCTGCCTTTGGCTGCTGCCTACCAATAGTGTTAAATCTTAGAATATGAAAATTTAACAGTTTATATCTTGTGAAAACCCATTTGTTGAAGGTGTTTCTCTGAAAACAGTCGGTTTTGTAACTTTTCAATTATGCTGAATGAGTCAAACTTCAAGGGCTTGTGATTTCTAGGAAAGTGGTAAGTTTGGTGTGCTAGACATGTACTGCCGAAGTTCCACGTCCCAAGCTTTGATTTCCCCCCCCCCCCCCAGCAATCCACACCTAAATTTATTTTTCCTTTTGTGTCCCGTCCTGCTTTAATTCTTCTGTGTGCCTGGATAGTTGGCCTGCATGTCTGTGTTGCTCATGGGTGTGAGCTAAGATAACCAACCCTGGAAAAGCATCCACTGCTTTTACCTGCTGAGCCATGGCCAGCCCTTCCATCTTGATATTTTTAGCATTTGGTCTTAAGTAGATGACTTACAAATACTACTTGGTATATATTTTAAATACATAGGTAAGTTTAGAGCATCTTAAGTAGGGGCAGTGAGATTGGTGGGCAAACCCTGCCCCCCCCCCCCACTGATCCCTTCCACAAGTCCTTGTAATTTCATGTCTTGTGTGGTGCCCACTGCATTTAATTCGGTTGCCTGCCTGAGCATAGGATGCAGCTACCTGCCCTCATCAAAGCTAGTTTACCAGTGGCTGGACCAATAAGGGATGGGACGCCCCTCCGCTAGCAACTATTAACTGCCTACCTCGGAATGTGACATGGTAAATGGCTTTGGTCTAAATTAGTTGTACAAAACGTCTTGAGTATATTATCAAGTAGATGACTTAAATTTGGGGGACACTTGGAGAAATTATTGGTTTAAAGTAGATGAAAGTTCTTAACTGTTAAGCCATCTCTCCAGCCCAGGTGAAAAGTTCTTATCACGTGTTGAGATATTGGTGGTGGTCCTGGAGGAGAATTTCTCTGAATTGAGTTTGGAGAGAAATGCAGTTACTTTCAATAGATGTGGTACTACGCACCTTTAATCACAGCACTTCAGAGGCAGGTGAATCTGAATTCCACGCCAGCTAGGGCTGCATGGACCTGGTCTCAAAGGAGAAGAAAAAACATACATGCTCACCTATGCTTGTGAGTGGCAGTAAAGGCTCTTATGAGCAGCATGGTGTGGGGACACTGAGAATGGAGTCCTCCTGGGTCCTCTGCAAGATGGCTTTTGTCTCCTATCTCTAGCCATCTGCTCTGTCTGTCTTAGCAGGCCCAGTCAGAGTGTATAGTCTGCCTTTGCATGTCCGCCACCTTGAAAAGTGAGCACAGTTCAGCTGTTGGTGCCTCCTTGGTTTCCAGGTTTATAGGAAATAGTGAGGGTGGTAAATGGTCTCAGATCAGGGTCAAGGATGCAATAACTATGGTGTGGTGGTCTTTGTCAAAGTGTTAGGGCTAATTTCTAACAGCAGATGGCCTTTCCTGGAGCATGTGTAGCCCAGGCTGCTTTAACCGGAATTTTCTGAGTGCTGTCACTGCAGGGTATTTTTAGAGAAGTTACATGTTCTCAGAAACTGTGCTCTTAAGAGTCTGAGCCTACATTATCACCAAAATTAGGAAATCCCTAAGCAGGTTAGACAAGCAGGAATGCCCGGAGCAAAGTAGACACAGGAGAATGACTGATTTGTTGTCCAGACTTGGTGTCCTTGTGTGTTAGGAGTAGGGTTGCATGTAGTAACCAGACACTCCGTGAGTCTGTGAGAAAGAATAAATATGAAGCAAACTGCGGGAAAATACAGGGTTGTAACTAAGGCTGAGAGGAAAACACTGCTAAGGATCAGTTTTCTAGTTTGGGATTTTTTTTTTTTTTTTTTTTGAGATAGGGTTTCTCTGTAAACTGGCTGTCTGGGACCTCTGTAGAGATCCTCCTTCTGCCTCAGTGCTGGGATCAAAGGCATGTGCCACCACTGCCCAGCTTTTAAAGGGTCATTTGTGGATGTAGCTAAGTTTTAGGATGAGACTTCATGGGTTCATGCCCCATCTCCACACTGATTTGTGCTGAAGTTGGACCTGGGAGGTCGCTCGGGGGTGAACAACTCAGGGCACAACACTAGCCAGACAACTTAATGTCAGGAGACCGGGTATGTAATGGGTACATAATCTCAGCACTATACAGCAAGATGCAGCTTATGGATGTTGCCTGCAGAGTATGCAACCCAGGCGGATAGGGTACCCTCAAGCCCAGCCGGAGGTGAGGGTTGACACCTGAGGTTCCACAGGTGCCGTTGGGAAGTTTGTGCTCAAACTTGATGTAAAGGAAAAGGAGAAAATACTTGCATACAGCTTCATAAACTTTATAGGTTATTTAAAAAGTTACTTGGTAGTGTGGCTTGAACACATAGCTTATCCAGCACGACATTGAAAATAGCTTCTGCTTATACATCCATCCAACAAAGACAAACCGGTCTGGAGATAGGAAGCCCAGAATGTTTCACTAGGTCAAATCGAGTTGTCAGCAGACCCATTTATCCTTCTGAAGAAAAATTGCTGCCTTTAAAATGAAAACATCTTCCTCATTTATAAAATAAATGTGATGAGAGATGACTCTGGTTAAGATCAGAGGACCCTAGTTCAATGCCCATCTGTAACTATCCTTGAGGCCTCAGAGGGTACAAAGCGTGCAAACCACCCCAATTAGAGTTGGCTGCACTTTCTTGTTCGTAAAGAGAGGTACCAGTAATTGAACTTGGGTCATCAGGGTTGGAGTCCAGCGCCTTTACTTACTGAGCCATTTATTTCACTGGACCCTACTTTAAAGCCTTGTGACATCCGCAGTCTTGTTCTGTACAGGGTTCCTAGGCTCCGGGATTTGGATCATGGGAATTTCACAGAGGGATGTCCAAATGACCTTTTCAGCTGTAATCTTGAGTCTGGAGTACTGGGTAGCCCCCACCCCTACCCCTGGGAAGCCTAACATTTTGAAGCATTTGGAATATCTGAAACTTTGTTGCTTTTCTAGCCACTCAGTATAAGGTTTGATTGATTAACCACCATAAACTAGCATTAGAGTAGCATTCAAGTTTCTGTAAATCCATTAACTGACTTGAGGTTCTTATTTTCATAGGGTGGCTGTCAATTACGGGAGTTGTTTTAAGTCAAAAAGGAAAAGCTGACCTGGCTAGTGTGTCAACTGGACTGGAGAATAAGGGTCTTGTACTTTTACAAACCCCACTCCCACAGAGGCCTGTGATGCACTTTCTTGGTACAGGAGGCCCAGGTTTTTGCAGACAGTCCCACCCCTGGGGCACTTGGTCTTGGGTGGTTTTTATATCTAAAAGGTGGAGCAAATGGTTCCTGCCTGAAACAAACCTGTTTCCTCCCCGTGTTGCTTTAGTTCATGGTGCCTATGAAACACCAAGACAGTACACTTCAGATGCAAAAGAAAGCTTAAGTACTCTTCATTGGTTTCTAGAAACCAACCAATACACACGCTCGCGAGGCTTTTTGTATGCATTCAGTTCATGTGGCTGCGGTACTTCCTAAGCACTTTGCACCCACTTTTCCATCCCATGCTGCCTGCCACCTTTGTCCAAGCACATATTAGGTGTTTTTTTTTGGGGGGGGGAGGGTTGTTTTTTAAATTGATGCTGCTATACTCTAAAACAGAGCAAGGCGTTTGACCACTCTTGGGAAAGTTCAAATCCTCCCGTAATTCAACTTGACAAAGTCTTACTTGGTCCGATTACATGAGGTTATTAGGAGAGAAAAAAATTCCAACACCCCATAGTTTCCTTTTTACATTGTTGAGATTAAGACAGCAATAGCCCCTTTGCTGGGCCAGGAAAGTGGCTCAGCAGGTAAAGTCTCACGTTGCCTGGCCTGAGTGCACCCCAGAGCCCACAGTGGGTGAAGAGGACCAACCAAGTCCTGAAATTGTCCTCTTACCGCCATGCAGGTGCACACACACACAATGAACATTTCTGGTTTGGTTTGACACTGTTAATACATGAAATTCAGACAGCTTTATGGAAGGATTCCAAGTCTCCTGCCTTCAAGTGAAGACTTCTCTAAAAAACTTCGTGAAGCTGACAGGATGAAGTAGTCGTCAGTTCCAATGTCAGCCCAGGAAACCCATTTCTAGTTCAATACCCACCACTGAAGCTCCAGTCTTATCACCTAACCCTCAGCTCATATTCTCCCCAATTAGACGTCTGTGTCCACAGTCTTGAATGCTATCATCAGGTCTCCCTCAAACGCACCTCCTGGACAGGTTGCCGGCTTTGGGCCAGCCTTCTCGAGCACTGCTGAGTGCCCAGTGCTTGCTGAAAGTCCAGCGAGTCAGCTTGAGAAAAAAGCATTTGATATTCCAGGCCTCCCGAGACCTGACACATGGTGACTATTGCATATTCCTGGTGGAAGGTAAAAAGAGATGGGCCGTCAGGTGTGGATCTGTGTGTACATGTGAGTGTGTAGCGGTAGGACAGAGTTATATAGGAGCAGTGGAACATAATAGAACGTGTTACAGGAACACAATTCATACTATAGAAACTAGAGAACTTTATAAAGGAAGCTGGAGATACAGATTTCAATAATGTCTCCAAGACTTGGGGTGAATAATTCTGGACTGCTTAGGTAGTGTTTTCCATTGAACCAGTTAAGTCTCTAAAATTTAAATTATTTTGAAATGCGTGCATGTGCACATTCACCCTGGATGTGTGTGTGCAAATGCATGCACTCGTGCAGGCGTATACACACACACACACACACACACACGGATGTGTCTGGGGAAAGGACAATCTTGTGGAGTTGCTTCTCTGGCTCAGATCATCAAATCTGCATCAGAAGCACCCTCACGCCCTTGCTGGCCCCTAATTTACTCTTAAAGTATTGTATTTATACACCTTGGGTACATGTTTGTTTTCCTCATGCCACACTGTGTCCGTGGAGCTCAGAGGAAACCTGGGATTTCTTTTCTGCTATCGTGTGGGATCACAGATGTATGGGAA